CGTGGAAGGAGTATAAGGGATGCAAAGAGTGGCCGCCTCTACTACGTCAACACGGAGACCAAGCAACGTACATGGAAGATCAAGGAGACGCCCTTTGCAAACGAGTGATTGATGGCATGCTTGTATATGAGGCCGACGGGGCATCACGCGGCCTACGCTGACGCTCTTGTTTTGGTCACAGTTCCTAGTAATATAAGGGAGCGGAGAGAAAACAACGAAGAGACGGTGTGTGACTTTTGCCTTATTATTATCGTTGTTATTTTACCTCTGTTCCTCATTGGGGGTGCATCGTTTCTTCAGTTGCACCAAAACAGCCACCACGTTGGGGTTTTGGCTTGAGGAAGCGGCGCGCAAAGGAGCGAGCATAAATTGGCGATGCACACCTGCAGCTCCTGGAGCTGTACGTCCGTTGCAGAGGTTTGCTTCGCCTTGCTGTAACTGTGATGCCGACCCTTCACCCTCAAGTGCGTGGGTGCGTCTCCGTCAACATGCATTTTTCTTCATTTTCTCTTCTGTTCCACCGCAAAGCAAAAAAGGCTAGGCGTCGTCCAATCTATTCACAGCAACAACCAATAATGACTACGTGCCGTCTGCTGTGCGCCCTGTTGGTGCTCGCCCTGTGCTGCTGCTTATCCGTGTGCGTGACAGCGAATGGTAAAGAAGGATCCGAGACCACAACGACAACCACGACGACGAAGCCGCCAACGACGACTACAACCACGACGACAAAGCCACCAACCACGACTACAACCACGACGACAAAGCCACCAACGACGACTACAACCACGACGACAAAGCCGCCAACGACGACTACAACTACGACAGAGGCACCAACTATTACGACGACAGAGGCACCAACTACGACGACCACCCGCGAACCGTCAAGTATTCGCAAAATTGACGGCAGCCTCGGCAGCTCTGCGTGGGTGTGTGCCCCGCTTGTGCTTGCCGTATCCGCGCTGGCGTACACCACTCTGGGCTGAGAAGGTGTGCGTGCCAGCACTCAAAGCCACTGGGACATGTGTGCGTCTCTTGTGATCCGATGTATAAAGTGAGAGTAATTGTGATGATCGTTTTTTGCTTTGTTTGCTTCCGCTGCCCTGCTGTGTGCTCCGCGTTGCTTCCCACCTCCGTCACGTTGCAAGCATCGCGGGCACACTCATATGCATGCGTACTGAAGCTTTGGGCGTTTTTTTCCTTTTAAAAAGTCTTTTCTTTTTTTATTATTGCAACTTCTTTTTTTTTTCAGGGCGTTGTGCTTTTTTTGTTCTTGTGCTGGTTCCGTCTGCGTCGTGGTGTGTGTGCGCTGCTGCTTCTGCTGGGCTGCTGCCGTTTGTTATTGTGCGTTGGCTGTGTGTGGTGTAGCGGCCGCTTTTCTCTTTGTTCTCTCCCATGCTCTTGCAGGTTGACTTCACAGTGTCGGGCAACTCCACCGTTCGTGATGATGCTGGCCGTGTGTGCTGCGGCCTGTTGACGCTCGCGCTGATGTGCTGCTGCTCGCGTGTTTGTGCGACGGAGTATTTGGTGCTGGTGTAGGCGTCGTGGGGATGTGGCGTTCCAACGTGACGCTGCTGTGTTGCTGGCGGACGTGCATGTGGCCGGTGCGTTTGGAGGCTTATGGCGATGCGTACCCATCTGGGGAGGAGGATGTTTGCTGGTGCGACGGCATTTGATGCTGGCATGATGGAGGGTGCGCTGTTCCCACTTGGTTTCCTTTCCTGTTGGTCGTCGGTGCCGGCTTCTCTCCGCCACCGTTCACTCGTTGTGTATGCGTTGGAGGCTGTTTTGTGGGGCACACCCGCTTTTTGCGTTGCTGTCACACCAGCAGCGTCGCAGCAGCGTCTGTTTGTGGAGCTCTTCTGTGTTTCTTTTGTGGGCTCGTTGTGTGGCCCCTGCCCGTGGTGGATTGTGGGGGGCAAGTGGTGCCGTTGGCGGCCGAGGGAAGGAGAGGACGGCGAAGGCAATGAACAAACGCCTATTCTTTTTTTGTCACTCGCGGCGTGGTTGTTGGTCCGTTGTTTGCTTCTTGCTGCTTTGTGCGAGCAGAACAAAATAAAATAAATATTTGTGCGGCGTGTCGATCTCTTTGCCGCGCGCACTATCCTCCGCGACGGGCGGCATGACGGGCGACCGCAGCCGGCGCCTGGCGCACCGCTGGACGGGGATCCGTTGCAAGGCTTTAAGGCGGAGGCGCAGCAGCGTGGCTTGGGATTGTCGTATGGAGACGAATAGGCGGCCACAACCGAGTCGCAGCCGCTCGTGAAGGGGAATCCCTCTCCTGCAGTTGCTGCTGCTGCAACAAAGGCAGCGGAGGCATGCTCAGCGACGCCAGCAGAGGGTGGTGGCGTGTTGTGCGGCAACTGGGAGGAGCCGCGCCAGCGAGAGGCGGGGAGGACATACGACAGTCAGACGGCCACGCAAGAGGCGAGGGGGAAGCCGCCATCCGAGGCTCTTGAAGAGAAGAAGGGTGGTGCAGCCCCTCAGCGGGAGCAGCAGGAAGTGCAGGAAGGGATCGCTGCAAAAACAAAAGGTGCGCTACGGGTGTGTGGGACGTGGAAGGAGTATAGGGATGCAAAGAGTGGCCGCCTCTACTACGTCAACACGGAGACCAAGCAACGTACATGGAAGATCAAGGAGACGCCCTTTGCAAACGAGTGATTGATGGCATGCTTGTATATGAGGCCGACGGGGCATCATGCGGCCTACGCTGACGCTCTTGTTTTGGTCACAGTTCCTAGTAATATAAGGGAGCGGAGAGAAAACAACGAAGAGACGGTGTGTGACTTTTGCCTTATTATTATCGTTGTTATTTTACCTCTGTTCCTCATTGGGGGTGCATCGTTTCTTCAGTTGCACCAAAACAGCCACCACGTTGGGGTTTTGGCTTGAGGAAGCGGCGCGCAAAGGAGCGAGCATAAATTGGCGATGCACACCTGCAGCTCCTGGAGCTGTACGTCCGTTGCAGAGGTTTGCTTCGCCTTGCTGTAACTGTGATGCCGACCCTTCACCCTCAAGTGCGTGGGTGCGTCTCCGTCAACATGCATTTTTCTTCATTTTCTCTTCTGTTCCACCGCAAAGCAAAAAAGGCTAGGCGTCGTCCAATCTATTCACAACAACAACCAATAATGACTACGTGCCGTCTGCTGTGCGCCCTGTTGGTGCTCGCCCTGTGCTGCTGCTTATCCGTGTGCGTGACAGCGAATGGTGATGATTCCGAGACCACAACGACAACCACGACGACAAAGCCACCAACCACGACTACAACCACGACAACAAAGCCACCAACGACGACTACAACCACGACGACAAAGCCACCAACGACGACTACAACCACGACAACAAAGCCGCCAACGACAACTACAACCACGACGACAAAGCCGCCAACGACGACTACAACCACGACAACAAAGCCGCCAACGACGACTACAACCACGACGACAAAGCCGCCAACGACGACTACAACCACGACGACAAAGCCACCAACGACGACTACAAACACGACGACAAAGCCACCAACGACGACTACTACTACGACAGAGGCACCAACTATTACGACGACAGAGGCACCAACTACGAAGACCACCCGCGTACCGTCACGTATTCGCAGAATTGACGGCAGCCTCGGCAGCTCTGCGTGGGTGTGTGCCCCGCTTGTGCTTGCCGTATCCGCGCTGGCGTACACCACTCTGGGCTGAGGAGGTGTGCGTGGGCTGTGCGTGCCAGCACTCAAAGCCACTGGGACATGTGTGCGTCTCTTGTGATCCGATGTATAAAGTAAGAGTAATTGTGATGATCGTTTTTTGCTTTGTTTGCTTCCGCTGCCCTGCTGTGTGCTCCGCGTTGCTTCCCACCTCCGTCACGTTGCAAGCATCGCGGGCACACTCATATGCATGCGTACTGAAGCTTTGGGCGTTTTTTTCCTTTTAAAAAGTCTTTTCTCTTTTTTTATTATTGCAACTTTTTTTTTTTTCAGGGCGTTGTGCTTTTTTTGCCCTTGTGCTAGTTCCGTCCGCGTCGTGGTGTGTGTTTGCTGCGGCTGCGGTGGTGGCCGCGTGAGAGTGAGTGAGAGAGCGCCATGCACCGCCCGCACACACACTCATCTTTCACCCACTCTCTGTGTGTGTCCCCTTGCATGGACTCTCGCCCTCACCTCACCCCACGAAGCACACAAATAATGTGCCCATCGTATATGTGCATGCACACCCATGCAGGCCCGTTGGAGCTCTCTTTTGCACGACACGCACCGCTGCCGTCCTGCCTGGCTGCATGGGCGGAGCACCGTAACTGTTTCTGTTTTGTTTTTATTGCATTGAGTGGGCGACCTCTCTCTCTCTCTCCCTGTGTGTGTGTTTTGCTTTACGGGAGCAATGAGAGTGTGTGCGCTGGTCGTCCCACGCTTCGTTTTTTTTTTTTTTGTTGTTTTGCTTCTTTGAGTCTCTGCTTGTGTTGTGGTTGAGTGCACCCGTTCTGTGGGCTGTGTGTGCGTTTGTGTTTTTCATTTTTTTTTTTTTTTTCTGTGTTGTGTGTCTTTGCGCAATTGTGTGTGATGCGAACAGACCGAAATGATTATTTTCATTTACCCTTTTTTTTTTTTTTTTTTTTTTTGAAATTTTGTTAATGTTTTAAAGTCTTTTTTTTTTTTTTTTTTGCTTGCTGTTTTTTCTTTTTTAATTGTTTTGACCGGGTGCATCTGCATATGCGCATTGTGCCTCGCTCTGTGGCTTTGTGGCGAGTAAATATTGCATCGCAGGTTTGTCTTTTTATTTTGCTCTTTTTTGTCTTTTCTTTTTCTTTTTTTTTATTATTTGTTTTCACACGAATTTTGTTTGATTTGCATGGCAGCAGGAAGGGTGGTAAGGTGGCGGTGGCGCACATGTTACGCGTCAAAATTGCAGGGTTTGCTGCGGGCTCACTCACGACGCTTGCGCTTTACTACCAACTCATTTGTTTGAGGGTCATTGACATACACGCGGCGCATTCAAAGCGCCTGCAAACAATGGGACAAGATCTCCTGCGGGCATCGTGCGAGGTGTCGCAGCTCCTGCACGCAAAAGGCGGTGGATTTGTCTGAAAGCACATATTTGTTGTTAAGATGACGGCTGAAACAACAACAACAAAAACAAAAAAAGAAAAATCCTTTTCTATTATATTTACTTGCATCTTTTATCATTTCTTTCCACGCTGTGTGCTGCACATCACCCTGTTGTGTTCTTGAGGAATTTAGCTTGTTTTTATGTATGATGCACTTTGGCTTGCGTCTCTCTCGCCACCTTGCGTTGAAGGGAAAAAGAACTGGAGAAATAGTAGTCGTTTTTCTCTTTTTCTTTGTCTCTCTCTCTCTGTGTGTGTGTGTGTGTGTGTCTAGGGAGCAGAGCGCTTTGTTTTGGCGGGGCTGGTACGCAGATTGGAGACGTTACCGTAGGGGAGACGACACTACAAGTGGCACCACAGGAAGGACACTGTAAAGAGAAACGTGGCCACTGGAAGGAATGACTGATCCGACGGCTGCGGCTTTGCTTCACAACACTGCCACGCGTGTGACTTTAGGGAATACGCCGCTGCATGCTGTGCCGGTGACGGTGGCCAAGCAGTTGAAACCCCTGCTGGAATCAAGCACTTCATTGACTGTCTTGACGGTCCACACACAATTCACTCCTCCAGAATCCTTAAGACTTATTCTACTCGGTGCATCGCGCTGCCGCAGCCTGCAGCATATGCGACTGGTGGGAGGCATCAGTGTGCTGCAGTCAAAGATGATTATGTCGGCTTTCATGCAGTTTACTTTTGCTCGAAGAACATCGAGGACGAACTCTGCAGTGAGACCATTTAGTAATCCTGCAGGGCGTTCTCCACATACGCCTCTTTCAAAACGTCCATCGCCAGCTCAAAGAATCCGTCGCAACGTTGTGGTGTCCGATGCAAAAATGACCAATGGCGGATGCCAACCTGGTGGATATGGTCGACTGAACTCTCCCGCATTGCGAAACATGGAGGTCTCTAAATCACCATCGCCGCGCCTTTCTTGGTTGAATGGAGTGCAAATGGTATTAGACCTGCATCACCTTGATGACGTTGTGGCGGGTTTTTTATTGAAGGGACTGGAACGATCAGAACGCATTGTTGGACTTGATCTTCACATTGCCCCCACATCACAGGCTGCCACACGTGCAGCGGTACGTATGCTATCGCATGCAAATGTGATTGTTGCCCGCAACGCCCGACGTGTACGTTACCTTTTAAGCCAGAATACTCCAGTTGATGCGGCTTTTTTGCGGGGCGCGGATAAGCGGGACAAAACAGATTTTTCTTTGTGCTCGCCACTTCCTGAGGATGTTCCAAGAGCGGAGCAAAGAGAGCAGGTGAGGGAAGGCGGAGAAAAGGAGAAGGAGGAGTGGGGAAGGGAGGCTACGACCATGAGACAGGGGCTGTCGACGTTCGATTTGAATACACTTCCGCCGCGGCGTTATTCCCCACCGCGACTTTTGTCAGGAGTGCCACCAGACCCTTCATTGCGACCAATGCAGCCGCATGTGGTGAGTGCAAGCCCTCGAATTTTTGACAATGGCGAGTTGGAAATGGGGCACATGTCACGGCGTGGCGAGCAGAAGCAGATGGAAGAGGAGGCATCCCACGAGAATGAATGCTTCGTATGCTCTGGGGGGTCGTTATACACACCAGAAAAGATACAAGCATCAAAGATCTCTTCAGATACAATAAATAGGCGTGCGGGGGAAAGACGGGAAGACGGATCGTGTGCATGGCCGGCACCAAAAGACCCTTTGGAGACGACGCAACCGAGTCCCTCCTTTTCGCGCCACACACCGTGTTCACCCCCCTCGCCACGGGGGCAGTTTGTGCAACATATTCGATATCTCCACGGGTGTGTGCGGAAGATCAACGGCGTTGTGGTGCGCTACCAGATGGAGAGTCGTGACTCCATACAGAGATTGGTTGCCGAGATGCATGTGTTGGAGGAGCAGCTGACAGAAAGGGTAACCTCCAAACTAACGGACATGTTGTTGTCCTTGTCGGAATTGGAAAAGCAGGTCGAATGATACCTTTTTTTAAAATTATTATTATTTAAATTTCCATTTTTACCTTTTTTTTTTTTTTTTTGCGCACATCTTGCGGCGAAGAATCCGATTTGAATACAGAGCCTCTTATTTGTTTTTTCTTGCTTTTTGCTTTTTGGTTTTTTTTTTATTGTTGTTGTTTACTTTTTTGTTTTTGGGTTCCATGTTGGTTGGGATTTATTGCTTTTGTTTGGGGGAGAACATGTGGAGAGAAAGAGAGAGAGAGAGAGAGAGAGTATTGGGTTGAGGGATTTAAATATATATGTTTTTTAAATTGGCGCATGTGCATGCATTTATGTTTGTGTCTATGTGTGTGTGTGTGCTGCAGAAGAGGAGGGAGCATGAATGCAATTGCAGTTGCTTTTTTTTTTTTTTTTTTTAATGTCTGGTGACGTTTTACTGATAATATATATATATATATATATATATATATATATATATATATATATAAAACAGTTATTATTGTCATTACCTGAATTTTATCTCTTATGGTCTTTTTTTGTTGTCACTGACACCAGATGCTCGTTGTTTGTGTACCGAACTTTTTTTTTTTTTTTTTTGTGTGTGTGCGTTTTGGCTTTTGTTCCCGCGGGAAGGATTTACAGAGAAGCAGAAGCAGCAGCGGATGCCTCCAACGGCTCTGGTTGTTGGGCAGAGCGTCATGAAGGCGTTTCAGCACCTGTCGACGCAGGATCTACACACACGTCGCGTGGAGGAGGCGTACCGCGTTGTGGTGGAGTGCATCACGGCGGTGGATCCGGCAATGCGACTGTACATGTTTGGCTCCACCGCAGTGTACGGTGTACACGAAAAGGGCAGCGACGTGGATTTTGTCGCGCTCAGCAAGACGGATGTGGAAGATGGGAAGGGCGAAGACGCCGGAACGCAAGTGGCGAAGGGACTGCAGGCAGAGTTTCTTGGAAAGTTGGCCAGAGTAGTACGACAGAAGCACTTCTCGTGGAACGTGGAGGAGGTGCGACGCACACGCGTCCCCGTCATTCGTGTGAAGGGCGGTAGCAGCGTGGACTTTGACATCACCGTGAATCGGCGCAACGGGGTGCGAAACAGCGCGCTTCTGCGGGCCTACTTTGAGCAGGATCCGCCGTGTCGCTGGCTAAGCATGGGCGTGAAGCGGTGGAGCAAGCGGGCAGGGCTAAATGCTTCTGTGGTTGG